ATTTTATTTTATTTTATTTTTAAGAATCCTGTTTTAGGAATTCATAAGCAGCTAGTCGGTAGGGGGGACATATCTCCAGAGGTTGAGTTTCAGGGAAACTGTCAGCTCTTAAAAGTTCAAAGGTGGCTGCACTGAACGTGTAGTTAGCGGTCTAGCCTGGATGGGAAATCGTGTCAGATACATTTTTCAAAGTTGTTTTCTCGCCCTGATGGTGGACGGCGGGCGAAGGAGCTGCAAAGTTTGGTTGCCGCCCTCACTGAGTCGGGAGCCCTGCCAGAGAGCAGTGTGGGTAGGTCCTGCATTTGCCAAAGTCACCCTGAATTTAGAACAGGGCTCCTGCATCCCCTCTGGCCTTGCTGTGGGTCTCGCGAGAGTTCCTTCTGTTATGCCCCCAACCTGTCTTCAGAGGTTGTTTTGTCCGGCCTGCCCTGTTCTGCCTGCACGGGTGGCCACCAGAGCTCTTGTGCTGTTTTTAGCAGAGGCTACTGGAAGCCGTTCCAGGGGAAGCCGTTGCCATGGCTACCTTGGCTGGGAGAGTTCCCGTTTTCTCCTTTTTTGTTAGCTTGTGGTTTCCCTGACTTTTAAGGTGCCAGCTGATGTTCTGTTTTTTTGCTACGCAGCAAGGAAAAGACTGGATTTTTGTTGCTTTTGTTGTTGTTGATGTTCGTTTTGTGTGTGGAGGTGTGTGCACTCGCATGTGTGTCTTGGATATGAGCTAAAGCTACCTCAGAAGATGAACTATCAGGAGAGCTTGGGCAAAGCCAGATGTACAGACGCAGTTTTCTTACTCCAGTTTTTAGTTTTGGCTTAGCGATTGAATGCGGTCCGCTTTTAGCCTCTTTTGTAACCGCAGGGGGCAAATTTGCTGAGCTTCCTTCCCCAGGAGCAGGGATCCCTGCCACTTGGGCTGGGTCTGAACTTTACACCGGTGCCCTGAGGAGCAGATGGCCAGTCAGGCCCAGGTGGCTTTATCTCATTCTGCTCTAAAAATAGAGAGGGGGGGCCAGCAGGCAGTACAGCCACACCTGGGGGCCATCGCAGTCCCATTTCACATCTGTGTCCCCGCTGTAAACGGGGCCCTTCACACACCTGGCGCACCACCTGTGGGTTAAGTGGAGGGATCCGAGGCTCCTGTGCACAGACCTCAGGGTGCCCCTCGCGGCGCCACTCGTCCTCTCTGGCGCCTTCTTTCTCCCACTCCGTGAAGGCTCCTATTCTCAGCATTTTCCAGTTTGCTTATCTTAGAAGGTTCATTAAATTTAAATAAAACAACACCCTACCCAGCTTATCAGTGCTCAGGACTGTTTGTGACTTGGGGTGTTGCCAGTCCATGGGAAGCCGCGGGGTGCTGATGGCAGGCCACCTGGGCGGGCCCGGTGGACACACCTGGATAGGACATGCCACCTCGGGGTTTGCCGCCTCGAGTGCGGGCCCCACCCGCCTCCCTGAGCTCTGAAGCTAAGCCTGTGCCTCTGCTCCCAGGTCACGATGAATGCCATGCTGGAGACCCCCGAGCTCCCGGCCGTGTTTGACGGGGTGAAGCTGGCCGCAGTGGCCGCCGTGCTGTACGTGATCGTCCGCTGTCTGAACCTGAAGAGCCCCACCGCCCCGCCTGACCTCTACTTCCAGGACTCGGGGCTCTCGCGCTTTCTGCTCAAGTCCTGTCCTCTTCTGACCAAAGAGTGAGTAGACCTCTCGCCTGCCGTAGGCCTGCCTGCTGAGCTGTTTGGCTTGAGCGATGTTCAGAGAACCTTTTCCCATGTGTCTTCAAGGCCACCATGTAAAACGGTGTCGTGGCTGACAAAATAGCCACAGTCTCCATAGAAGTCTGTGTTTTGAATGCCGGAGGGTAGGAGACAGAATCCGACCTTGGTTGCCTGGAGTCATCATTCATGACAAGGACTTTGCAGAAAACGGCGGTCGTTTATTTTTAGGGAGATACAGAAAACTTGGACAACATTCTAGCCCTTTATCAAATGGTCTGTTGCCAATTCTGTTGCTAGGACTGAAAAACTATCCTTACCCTAAATCTATAATAATAAAAGCATAATATGCTAATTAGACCAGACGGCCGAACAGCGGAACGACCGTCTGGACGACCTTCCGGACGAAGCCCGGGCTGTGAGGGCCAAGGCAGCCGCTGGGGCTGCAAGGGCTGAGCCCCTTGCACAAATTTCCTGCACTGGGCCTCTAGTTAATAAATTAAAAAGCATAGATTTATGAGTTGGGTCCTCTCCATCTCTCTTATTGAATATTCATACTGTGCCCCTCAGCGTCTGACCACATTCAGTGGAGTGTCTAGTGCTCAGCGGGTACTAGCAGCCCGCTATCCTGATACGATCTCTCCCACCTCGGTGGGGGTTGGTGACACTGAGTGAATGACTCGCCTCTAAGAGCAGGCAAATGTGTGACAGACACGTCGGAGAACTTGGACTCTTGCTTGTCTCGTTTGACCGTCCAGTTCATTTTCACGTGCTGTTCGCCAAGGGTGAAGAGCCATGTGGGCTTCGGGTGTTTTGTACGTTTGTGTGCAATTTCCTCATAGTTGTCACAGTGATGTCATGACTCAAAAGTTACATTAAGTCGAAAGAGACCTGTACCTGGATTGTGTTGCCCGATACTTGTGGAGTGCCACGTGCAATGTGATGTCACCACGCTGAGTTTGGAACTGCCCCGCTGAGGGGGCTCCATCCCAGTGGCTCCACAGCGGAAGGTGGTGCACAGAAATCTGTATGCTTTTCAAATTGCCCAGCTTTTTTTCTTTCCAATTCTTTTTCTTTTTTTAAACATTATTTCTCTTTAACCTTTTTTTTTCTTTAATATATTTTATTGATTTTTCACAGAGAGGAAGGGAGAGGGATGGAGAGTTAGAAACATGGATGAGAGAGAAACATCGATCAGCTGCCTCCTGCACACCCCCTACTGTGGATGTGCCTGCAACCAAGGTACATGCCCTTGACCGGAATCGAACCTGGGACCCTTCAGTCCGCAGGCCGACGCTCTATCCACTGAGCGAAACCAGTTACGGCTCTTTCCAATTCTTAATGTAGATACTTCACTAATCTGGACTGGCAGCTAACATTTGCACCCACTTTCAGACTCAGTGGGACCCCAAAGCTAGACCCAGTTCCTCGGCCATCTCATGGGTAGAGCTTTTGGAAAGCAAGGTGTTCAATCCCTATAAGTTTATATCGAGGTGACTGTAAATTTCCACCCACCATCGGGTCCTGGTGATCAGAGGGAACCGTGGAAAAGCTGCTATTTGTCCAGGCTCCTGAGAAACATCACATAAAGTCTGATTCTATACTAGTAGCTCACAAAGCTAATTATGGTGGGTTTTTGTGTGTGTTTTTATGCCTCCTTTTTAAAAATATATTTTCATTAACTTCAAAGAGGAAGGGAGAGGGAGAGGGAGAGAGAGCTAGAAACATCCATGATGAGAGAGAATCATTGATTGGCTGCCTCCTGCACACCCCCCACTGGGGATCGAGCCTGCAACTCCGGCATGTGCCCTGACCTGGAATCGAACCCAGGACCCTTCAGTCCGCAGGCTGATGCTCTATCCACTGAGCCAAACCAACTAGGGCTTACCTCTTTTCTTGTTTTCCTTTAAAAAAAAAAGAACCCAGAGTCATTAAGTCTAATGATTTCCCTTTGCCTCATAGGCATTATGTCTTTTAATCCTCTTAACAACGTTGAGGTCAGATTCCTTTTTCCTTTCATACTTAAGGATAGGGAAACAGTAGCAGAGAGGAAAAGTGAACCCAAGTTTGTGACTCTGGACTTGGTTTCCTTCCTATCCATGGGAGAGGAGGACAGAGTCTGTTCTCGGGGTGCAGGTGAGGGAAGCAGCGGCGGGCAGCCAGGGGCCATCCTTAATGCATCTTCCGAGTGACCCTCTTTCTATTTCACTCCCTCTGTTGGAAGCCACTGTCCTCCATGCTCTTTCTCAGTCTTGCGTTTCTGTCATAGCCTCCCCTCTATTTGAAGCCGAGGGCAGGAAGTACGTCTGTTAGGGGTAAAAGCGTTTCTCCGGCGGCTTTGAAGATTTTTTTTCTAGAGGAAACCTGTCTGCAGCCTGCACCAGCCATTGTCTGGTCTGGAAAGTGCAGCTAGCTGCCCTTGCTGGTGTGGCTCAGTGGTTAGAGCATCAGCCTGGGGACTGAAAGGTCCTGGGTTCGATTCCAGTCAAGGGCACATGCCTGGGTTGTAGGCTCGATCCCCAGTGTGGGGTGTGTAGGAGGCAGCCGATCAATGATTCTCACTCATCCGGTGTGGCTCAGTTGATTGAGCATCATCCCATGCACCAAGAAGTCATTGGTTCAATTCCCAGTCAGGGCACATGTCCGGTTGCAGGCTTGATCATCCCCAGTGGGCGTGCAGGAGGCAGCCTATCGATGTTTCTCTCTCATCGATGTTTCTCTCTATCCCTCTCCCTCTCCCTTCCTCTCTGTTGTAAATCAATAAAATATATTTTTAAAAAAAGAAAGAAAGAAAGTGCAGCTAGCTGGTTTACAACAGGCTGATGGTGTTACTCAGTAACCCTGACTGAAGCGGCCCGTGGTTATGAGTTATGTGCGGAATCAGAACATTTCCGCTTGCTGTTCTGTAATAAAAATAAAAAGAAACTGGATGAAAGGTGAACAGTAAAAACAGGAGAAAGGGTTGTTTTTTTCCCCCCTGTCAGCATTCTAGTCAGTTTTTAAACCTGTCGTAAGGTAATCTGTCCTTAGGAATGAACCTTTTTAATGTCTGGAGGAAAACTCGGCTTAGACGGGGCGACGTGTTTCTTGTTCGCTTAGCAACAGATCAATATTTACCTAGTGATTCATTTCTTATTCTCAAGACCTGTTTGCTTTCAGCGAAAACCGCAGGCTAAAAGCTCAGTTCAGAATTAGGAGAAAATGTCGGTGATGATACGAATCTCCATTTTTCTTTTTCTGAATAAAAAATTTAATGCATATTCATTTTTTTGAGCCGTCACTATAGTAAAATGCACAGCCCTAAGTGGACAGCTCAGGGCCTTCTGATAGGTGCTCGCCCGTGCACCTACCATTCCCTTGGGTTTTTACAGGAGTTTCCCGAGTCACCCCCTCTGACCTCACCGGTCACAATGCCACCGGAGTGGCTTCCTCAAGCAGGCCAGCACCTAGGCACGCTACAGCGTGACCCCACCACCTGCCCAGCCCCACAGCCTGGCCTGCTCTCATTGCCATGAAGTGCCAGCCCCTTGGCCACCCCCAAATCCCTCCTTTCTCCCTGCACCAAAATATCACTTATCCTGTAAATGAACTTCAATAGCATGACTTCTGAGAAACTTCCCCTGATTTCCCCCTACTCCTCGGTCAGAGGAGCCCCTTTTCCTTCTTTCTACTCATGTTTCCCCAGCATGTAGCTTCCATGTCCGGTTAGCCCCGTGGTCGGCAAACTGTGGCTCGAGAGTCACATTCGGCTCATTGGCCCCTTGAGTGTGGCTCTTCCTAAGCCTTAGGAGGACCCTAATTAAGTTACTAACAATGTACCTACCTATATAGTTTCAGTTTTAAAAATTTGGTTCTCAAAAGAAATTTCAATCGTTGTACTGTTGATATTTGGCTCTGTTGACTAATGAGTTTGCCGACCACTGGGTTAGCCCATCCACCCTCTTTTATGGGAATTTGTGTCTGTCTCTTTTCTATCAGTAGAGCACACATACCCCAAATCAAGAGCCACACTCTTTTTTAAAAAATATTTTATTCAGAGAGAGAGAGAGAAACATCAATGATGAGAGAGAATCACTGATCAGCTGCCTCCTGCATGCCCCCTACTGGGGATCGAGCCTGCGACCCAGGCATATGCCTTGACTGGGAGTTGAACTGTGACCTCCTGGTTCATAGGTCAATGCTCAACCACTGAGCCACACTGGCAAGAGCCACACTCTTGATGAGACAGAACAGGATCCCTAGGGGTTCCCGATCCTAAGCGTAATGCTGTTCGTGTCGTATTTACATGGACAGATAGAGGTGAGGGATATATCTATTTTGGCAAATTCCAGGTGTGCTCTGGGAAAAGAAACCACAGTCCCCAGCCTATGCAGTCAGCACAGCTGGGGCACACGTGAGTTTTGTTTATTGGGGAGTCACTACCCCGTCTCTGAAAAAAAGATGGATTGGTTGTTTTTGGTCTTAAGTCAGGACAACCCCCAGGTATAAGCAGAAAAGCAGTTTCAGCCTCCGCCCTTCCCATGGGCACAGCTGAAATTTCCATTAATCAGGTCCTGGTCAAAAGCAGAGTGGAGCCAGGAACCCCATCTCTAGAAGTCCCCTCTGGCAGGTACCCCATCTCTGGGAACCTCCTATTAAAACTTCAATGTTCCCTCTGGAAAGCTAGGCCTGGTGCAGCTAAAGATACAGGCACTTAGGAGGCGAGTGATGGAGGGCTGAGCTAAGCCACAGCCTAGAAACAGATAGCGGGGGAGTTTTTATCGCGATACCTAGGAGCCCCTGCAGGGTCCGAGGACGGGAAGCAGTGTGATCAAAGCCACCACCATGCGTTTGTGGCTCCTTTCTTCCCCAGAGACGACAATGCAATCGCTTTCTTCCATAGCCAGCTGCCACCTGTGTTAAAACTGGACGTTATTGTCCTCCGTGGGTTTGAGAGATGCCTGAAACTTGGGGACAAGGATCACCCCCATTCCAAGACC